TCGGAAATTTGTAAGATCCTGGATCAAGCCGGGAATGACGATGATTGAAATATGGTAGGTGTCAGTCGTCAATTTTAACATTTTCTCACGCAGTGTTAACGAATTTCATAATTTTAAAATGATAGTCGCGCATAATTACCGAGGGATTAATTCTTGTCACTGGGATCGAGGGTTAAGAATGACCATTTGCGGCATCTTCCCCAAAATAATGACAACGATTGGAGGTTGCAGTGGAACCGACTGCCTTCTGGAAGTTTGCCACGCTAAGCAGAGCAAATTATGAAATCGTCTCTGAAACTTGCAAGCTTCTTGGAAAGTGCTGCAAGAACTTTTTTGTAAAACTGCTACTATTGATAAATCTGGTTTTGTTCGTTACTCTTTTCTGGGCAGTAGAAAGTGGAATTTGCTCAGTTGGAAGGGAATTTGATCAAAAGTGGAATCTGTTCACCTGGAAGGGAAAAGCTTAGGATGGGGCGATATAGGTTTGGGGGACTTGGTAATTTTTCTCCTAACTTTTTGTGATGAAATGAAATTAATGACAAGAAATGAGAGAGCTGACCATGCGTGATGATTCGTCTTTTTAGCAGCAAATTTGCAGTGAGCGCCTGGAGGCGCATTCACGCCGGATGATCAACGAGAATGGTCTAAAAGCAGGACTGGCCTTTCCAACGGGTTGCTCATTGAACAACTGTGCTGCACATTATACTCCGAATGCTGGTGACACCACTGTTTTACGAGTGAGCAGGCTACGTTTTCGGTTGCTCTGTGTTGTTTGCTCGTTTGTCGCGTTCTCTGAAATTCTTCCATGATCCTTCGCTCTTCTAGGAAAGTGATATCTGTAAAATTGATTACGGTGTCCACGTAAATGGGCGTCTTATTGACTGCGCATTCACGCTTCACTTTGATCCTAAATTCGATCCATTGGTGAATGCTGTGCGCGAAGCAACCAATGCGGGTATTCGAGAAGCTGGCATCGATGTTCGGTTGTGCGATCTTGGCGAGACTATTGAAGAGGTCATGAGGAGTCACGAAGTAAGCGCTGTTTTTCGTATGCTGGCACTGATGCTGCTTCCGTTCAGAATTACAATACAGGTCTTTATGGTGCCAACCAGGAAATTGCGTCCGTGTGTTCCATTTATTTTGTTTTCATCT